AACATACTTTCAGCGCGCATGTAATCCTGCATAATCTCGGTCCTACCAGCCCAATAAAACGCGTGCGCTTCCCAACTTGCTTCACAATAAAGCTAAATCAATGATTTGTCCGACGGGGCTTTGGCGCGGACTTAATCCCAGTTTTACATGTGATTAAAGTCCGGGGTGAGGAAGTGTCAAGACGGTTGATGCCATTACGAAAATGCATCATTCGCATCTAAATCCGAGCAATATTACAAACAGTCAAATATACATATATACAAATATACATCTTCCCTTATTTTAAAAAAATTAAAAAAAAGGTGATTTGCGACAGCGAAGAAATATATGTAACATTTACGGATCAAGCGGATGTTAGGACAAATAAATTTAAGTAATATCTTCATCACTGTAATCTGCAGATTTCTAAATTCTCGACAATTATAATTCCCGTTAATTTGTTAACCATTCATCGATGACATCGTTATTGTTGTGATAGACGCGATACGTCTACCGATGTCCGACGTCGAGGGTGGCAATCGGACTCATCTGCGATCGGCTTCTCGCGATCGAGAACCTCGCTGTTAAATCTAAGGCAGCAACCCACGTCACTCTGGGATGAATGCCTGGCTGGGTCGGGCATTCTTCAAGTAAATTATAGTCTTGAATGGGTGGCGCGGCGGGGGGTTGGTTGGCACGCGCACCACTGGGGTACACCTGCCCCCCGTAGACATCTGTCCCCCTGTGCGTCTAGCGCTAGAGTCAAACCATGGGGTACGTATGCGCGCACGTACGTGAATATGTTTGTGCGTATGTCTGTATGCGGCAATGACCCTCTTTTTCTCTTTCTCTCTTTTTCATCACAAGTCTCTGTCATCGGCTTGACGTTTTGCGAAACCGTCAATTTTCGCGACACCGATGATTAAAGAATGGCAGAATAACGGCTGCCGGATAACGTTTCCGAAATTGTTCTCTAAGTATTTATTATAAAATACAGAAAAAATATATAACAATATTTTAAACTTTAGATTATTTGAATTTTCTTTCTCGTTTCACTATTTCTCATTATAAAACTTATTCCTGAAAAAATTTGTCTTATTATCTTAAATGAATTAATCTAATATTAGATATTTTTAATTTAATTTAATTTTTCTTAATAAAATAACAAATAATATATTTGATTTGAAAAGAATAAAATTATCATATAACAAAATTTTCATTTTGGATTTATAAATGCTATTCCAAATTCACATAATAACTGTAAGTGTTTCTATCTACAAGTGCTTCAAACGTAGAAAAATTAACCTCAGTTAACTGTGATTAATTTTTCTACTCATTCCGATTCTACTCACTCCGTAAATTTTATTGTTAGTAACGCCGATGCGTAAACGCACAGCAATTCGTGCATGCTTCTTTCTTCGGCGTTTTATTTATCCGACAATGCATTATTTGAGACGAGGGTGCGCACATTAATCCGCGGTCCATTCTAATTAATTTCGTGAATCTCGGGTGATGGGGGCGGCCGATCAGCCGCAACTCAAATAAGGCTTTCCATATTTTAGCACGAGCGAGTCACCGCGAATAGAGAAAGCGCGTGGTGTGCTCCGTGGTGTGTCAGAGCTGATCGCACAACGTGGTAGTATAACCGGTATTGTTCGTGGTTTACCACAAAGGCCTGCAAATGCCGACTTGCAATGGAAAACCGGCTACCCTGCACACGACGCGTCTAAACAGATGCGGAAATACGATGCTCACTGAATTTTCCTCCGGCGTATGAGTAAACGTTGTTTGTACGCTTGCAAATAAACACATCGAGACCCCAGAGATTCTAAGATAAAAGCAAAATAAAAATAAAAATAAATTCTTATGAAAGTCTTTAAAAAGATTATTTTATAAAATATTTATATTATGTTTTGAATTTCTATATATAGCGTTCAAACTTAATTTTGTTACATTAGAGAGGATTTATTGTCACGGAAGCTGATTTCCCGTATTTTCTTCTTTAAAGAACATTAAAATCGTCTCACTGTCTTTTCAGAGTAATGATCACACATCTATGATAGCACGATCGTTTGGATGATGCGGAATTTAATTGTTAATCTCGGCAGTTTCGGTCGCGAATGACACGCGACTACCGATTCGTGAAACGAATTAAATCTCCAACGCGGGGATGAATCGCGCTCGTGGAGCTCCGGGCCTTCAAAAGCTACGGCCATTAATCTTCGATTAAGTGCTCAACGATCGGTCAAGGTAATTTAACGAGTTTTCCTGAATTAGGAAAGACCGTCTCACCCTCCCGATGACCGTGGCCCCCCGTACCCGTGCTTCGTTCCCTTCGTTGCCGTGCGGCTTTCTCTCTTTCTGTGGGGGGAACTACCGTCTCTGTCAGCCACCAGTATGTCACCGTACAGACCAGCGCGCCGGTACAATGAGGGCCGACCGTGGCGATCGATATGCGCACTCGACGGAAACGACCTAACGAAAGGTCGATCGAAGTGAAATCACTACGTCTGCGACCTCGCAACGTGCAAAAAAAAAAACAGAAAAACAAAAAAGAACACCGTACATTCGGGAATAACGTAAATTATTACGAGAACCTGACGTAAATCACTATAAATCCCTTTTGCATTTACACCCACAAGCTATATATTTTGAAAAAAGATGACTCGCTTCTGTAGAACGGAATAAACGACCAAAATTATGTTCCTGTAATTGATGACAGATAGATGTGTCTGGTTGAAAAATTAATTAATACTTATACAAAAATAACGTGGTTATTTTAATTGAATGGCGCAACTTACAATTGGTATTCTGCGATATAAACAAATCTTATTACTTATAACGTTTGATATTCAGTGTTGCAAAAAGAGATGTCAAAAGAGGTGCATTTAATGTTTTTCAAAAAAGTATTAATTGTTAAATTGATCAAAGGAATTTATAGATAAAGTTTTGGCACGTTTTTTTTTCGAAAATCACTCTGTAGCAAAGGTAAAAAAGTAAGCGATGGAACTGTTTGTGTTGCGCCCGTTTATACATTATTATCTTTTTTTTTTTAACTTACTGGATACGTGGACGGGACGTAAGCTCTCGGCAAAAACTGATTGAATCCCCCAAAATCCAACACCTTTATGGATGCTGGCCGTCTGTCGTGCGCTATGCACACATTGATATATCGTCCACATAATGGCACCATTGAGGCATTACTATTATTGGCAAGATTTGGGGAAACGATCGAGCGTGCTAACGGATTCGTCGCAGCTTGCACGCTGTTTGCAAATAGATCTTGTATAGGAAATTATTGTTCGCGCAGCAGTAGTCTTGATGGATCAGTGCGTCTACATTAGCATTCCGCGAAGTTCTCTCAGCTTATTACATTTATTTGTACAGAAATTAAGTTTTAGTGCGGAACAATAATGTAGATAGCAAAAGATTATTAGAAGCTTTAATCTTTGCAATGTGTGTGACAACATTAACCAGAAATATTTTATTACAATAATACCATGTTGATTAAAAATTCACGTTATAAATATGATAATTAGAATGTAAATCTAAATAAATTGAAGTAAATACAGAAATTTAAGTAAAAACAGGAGGCATTACTTTTCCGTTTATATAAAATAATTTTTATGACTTATGAGATAAATACATGATTATGAAAAATTAAACATATAATATGTTATCAATAAAAAATAAAAAAATAGGTAATAAATACGTAATGTAATTTTTAATTGAATAATACGTCGTGAGATGGTTAATCATAAATCAATATTATCACAACGAACGGGTGGATCTCGGAAGTAAAGTGAATTTTTTTCAAAGATTAGACAGGAAAATATTATCCTTCCATTTTGGACGCTCCGAAGGGCTGTTTTGACAGATCTTCTCTCACTCGTACTCCGTTTGATCGAACGATCGAATTCGCCTATTTATTTTGCTAACACTTGGCCGTTACACTATAAGGGGATATCCACTTGCTATCGTTATGTAAATTGCTTTCTTCATCAAGATGCTCTTGCATAATAACGAGCAAATATTATTCAAGCACGGTAGAATTTATACACGATTATGGATTTATGGAAAATTATTACGAAAGTATTATAATTTATTTTCTGTTATGCAGATGTTTGGAAAAAATTTGCAACGCTATATATAATTTTTAATCGTTTATTTTAAAATGCTAAATATAATTTCGTAATGCGAAAGAATGCTATTATAATAATTATTCCATATCAATTTTTATATTGTTCTTAAAAAACTGTTAATGTATACAACTTTTTACACTTTACTTATGCTTATAATGTTCATTTGTTATTTATTATAAAATACTGTAATAAAGTAAATAAAATAGAGTATGTAACAAAGTAGTTGAAGCTGATTGTAATAAGAATAAACCTAACGGGAGAACTTATTTCGGGATAATCAGCTAATTGTATAAATTGGTTATTCAATACTTACATTGATTGGACGAATCGTAGTCATGTTTTACATGTAATCTTACGGATTATATGGGTGGATGTAACTTCAGGCACGATTTGTGATACATCTGCTCTGCGGTGGCTTCAGTGCAGAACGCGTGTCCTGACACGTGCTCGTTCATTCTCAAACTACTATTCCATTCCTGTGAAGTGGATCAGAACATTTTGTTGGGAGAATAGAATCTATAAATTGAGACCTCTATGTTCTAGTAACTTTTCAATCTTTTATAAAATAATAAAAATATGACAATAAGATATAAAAATAATATTACATACTTTTATATAAATTCTATTTCTTCCTCGTATTACGAAAATTTAAAACTAAAACTTTTTATTCTAGAAATTTATATATAAATGTATTATAATATTAATAAGATAGAAATGTTTAAATGTAATTAATATGACACATATATGTAGCTGAAAAAAAGATTTAAAAAGAAATTTAGGTAAAATATGTTTTTATTTTTTTTGATTACGTATAAATTATATACAATATATTCCCTGAATCAGCAGTTGCGTATTATAATAAGAGCACTGGTGGGCATTATATACTTTTTTAAATTAATTTAAAAGCTTATATATATCTTAAGATATGCTGAACAAAAATGAGATCGAGCGTTCGAGATCAACTAAAAATATTTCTGACTAGAACAAAGGAACGCAGGTGTAATACAGTACTTGAAACGTAAGAAATTCATCATTCATTAATTATCTACAATTAATCTTCAATGACAAATCCAACATTTTCCGCACTGAAACATAAAATTAAACTACTTCTAATATTAACATAGGAAAAAATTTACATAATTTTGAAATAAAAGTGTCAATCTTGCAAAAATATTGTTATTCCTGTTGATTATACCATCTTTACCATTTTTCTGATTGATGTACAGCAAAATATGCTTATGGAGGATTAAAAGTAAAACTGAAAAATACATCTAATCGACTTACACCGTAAGTAAAAGCGATTTGATACTCTTCTCGAATAAAATACTCTCTTATAAAGTAGATAACGATAATCATAGCACACTGTCCTTTCTTTTTACAATCACGTCAGCTCTTTGGAAAACACTTTTCAGCTTCAGTTATACTCGATTTCTTCCTCTGGTTGAGTCTTTAATTAAGTTATCCGAGAGATAATCATTCTTGTGTATCTCTTTAATTATTTGTAACAGCGTAGACGGAGAGATTGAGCTGAATCTACGGATAAATATAATCAACGCTGAAGAAACCGACTCGTTCAAGCCATTAGAATTTATCTGCACTTCGTCGACGTTTAAAGACACTGATACATGTTGTTGTGATGAGACATGTGATGATGAGACGGCGGCGCTAGCTGATGCTGAGGACGGTGAACCTGGTACATCCTCTGATCGTAGCAGGGTTGATATTGCATCGGCGGGCTCACGCTCTGATCGCTGTAGCAATCGTATTCCTGCCATTCGGGCGCGACGAATCGCTCCTGAGGTGGATACGGGAAACCCGCGGTATGTTGCGGCCCGAGTCTCTTCTGAGCCGCCACCGCGCAACTTCCAGTTGACGAGGTGATCATGTTGCCGTTTTCGGTGATGCTGACGGTGACGTTGCCGACATTCACCGTAATCTCACCGCCGTCGGAGTTGCCGCCCAAAGTCTGCGACAGTGCCCAGATGTAGTTGTGCGCGAAACGGAGCGTCTCGATCTTCGTGAGCTTCGTATCCTCGGGGAAGGTCGGCAGGGCCATCCTCAGACGTTCCAGAGCATCGTTCAGCGTATGCATTCTGTGACGCTCGCGGTCGTTCGCCTTTATCCGCCGGTTCCTCTTTAATCTGAGCACCTATTTGCAGAATTGGGTATTGAGAAAAGGAATCAATGCCTGCACTACGAGAGTATAAGTTTTAAGTAAGCAGATAGGAACAAGTAGATAAAAACTCAGGCTGACAAGTAGATAAGAGTTGTAACTGGGTAGACTACGGATTTCAGGAATGCCTAAAAGATGATATCTTGAATATATTTTAAATAAACTTTTAATCTTTTGTTGTTTAGGAAACTTTTGAAAAATTGTATTTAAAAGTAGTAAAAACTATTTCATTATTAATGGAATTCTCTATAGAGATGAATTAAATATTGAGAGACATTGAATAATTTATATACCTGCGTGGGACTTTTGCAACGAGTATTCCGCGTTTTTTTGCGTTTCTCTTCTTTAGCAGGAGGGAATAGAGCGTCGGCTGGTAATTCGTGTTTCGGCGATTCAAAGCTAACATCGAAACCAGAATCGGAGGAACTCGAGAGTTCGTCGAAGCCTCCCTCGCTACAGAATGAGTACTCTGACGACATCGTCGTGTCTTGCTGTAAACGCAAAGCGATAAAAATTTTACCCTGATGCTTTTATACCCATTGCGTGCAGAAGATTGTTATGATCACAACATGAGCGTTAAAAAAATAGTTTCCTTCAAAATATATATTCTCATTTAATTGTATTTTATAGTTCTTATTTCCCTTTCCAAAATTTCTAAATTAAATTATTAAATTTTTTATAATCTCTGAACAAAGCTCGATAAAATTAGTTTTAATTTTTTTTTTATCGAGCTTTGTTCAGAAAATTTTGCAGAATACATTTCCACGTACCATATCAAAATCCACACTTGTACTTTGCCAAAATTCTTTTGGCAACTTAGAGGCAAGACAAATTTCCCGAAATAGCACACAGCACAGAGTAGAAATTGCACTCTCGGAAGGTAAGAATAAACATTAATGGAAATTCACGTAACGACGTAACGTCGATCGAAACGAGAAAATAAGAATTCACCGACGAGCGGACTAGGCGGGGTACAATTTGGTACTGTGCATGTGGCAAGGGGCTCTTAGAGCATATATACCGTCCCGGGGGTATTTCGTCCCCTCCACGAACCTAGGGCCACCGTGAGGCTCTATGGGGCACCGAGAGAGTTCACCCCATAATCACCATAGAGGGGTACGTCTCTAGCGTTCTCCCCGCTCCTCTACTCGTGTATGCATTAGACGCGTGCCACGGCGATGTAGCCGCCTTGTTAGAAGATTAGAGGTTTTTAGGACGATTACACCACTTTGAGATTATGATATATAAACGGTTCCCGAATTTACAATCAATTCTCGAACGCATTTTTACCGTATTTGCGTTGAAAAATCAAGATATACAATATTTAAAGAAACAAAGGTCAAAATTAACGTTTATATGCTGAGAAATTTTATAAAGAAAAATCTTGAATTTAAAATTTTTTCTTATCTCAAATGTTTACAGATTATCTTTTTATTTTTAAGTCGAGAATTGTACAAAAATCTTTTTAGTAAAAATAAAAACATTTTTCCATTATTAATGCTGCAAAGAAAAGATTGTATAAATGTTGTAACGTACTATGTCTTCTACAATGTTTAGATACTTTCGAATACCGTCTGTCTGTAAAGTACAACGGGTTAACCACAAACAGGCGTTTTCATCTTAGAAGTGAGTGCAAGGCACAAAATTCTATTTTAAGGAAAGAAAACAGTCTTTTGCATATAAATAAATTATATAATTTAATTATATCGATTATTATAAACCGTATATATAAATATTTTAATACTTAATATATCTTTAATTAAATATTATATTGCGTGAGAGATAACGTGGAAGATTATAAAAAAATATATTCTTATTACTTACAATATTTCCTCGTGGAAGTTCGTAGTCTTGTGGTTATCTAACGCTCGTGCACAATATACGGCTGAAAATAAGTTGCAGATAATCTAATAAAATCAACGGTGACCATATGTCATATACGCTAATCAGCTGATAATATCAGATATATCACTATAGAAACCGCAGTACCGCGTTAACGGGATACTCGAGGAAGAATTTCAACGAGCAAAATTACGAAATACTGCAAGAATCGATCGTTTTATTATAGCGATTACTTCATCATTTTTTCTATTTATAAATTAAATCTTGATAATCTTCTCCTCGAATTCGGCCTGCGTTGTCCTGTAAGAGACACACTTTATTTTATTCCTATATTTGATTATCTATACATTAGTCTAATCATATTCGAAAAATAATATAACAAGGATAGACAGCCATATATGCAGACAACAATCGTTATTGCGCTTATCGTGCAACCAAATAAATATTATCGTGTTGTAATGTGAAAGAAAGTGTGCAGTGCCCATTAAACGAGACTATCAAAAAGTGTATCTTGCGCCTTTAATACCGTAGGATATTAGTTTGTACAGGGATCAATGAAACGAAGATACGGGCACTAATCAATTTGACTTGTGCGAAGTATTAGCTGCCATCGAGATCAGGGTATCATCAATTTTTGAGATATGAAGTATTTCGGAATGACAACTTTAATACCACATTCACACGGCCGGTATCAGCAAACTCCGGGATTTGATTCTCGTGATCGCGCGCGATTCTATAGTGAATAATATAAGACCCGGCGCCTACATACACTTCGGGAACGAAAAATATCAAGAACACGTGTCGTCTGTTTACACGAGGATTCGTGTTATCGAAGGATATTCACATACATTTTGAGTGTACTGTCAATAATTTGTTCTACCGAAACAAACAGATCCGCCTTCCGGTGATGATTAGATGAAATTTTTACTTCTCAAGTCTGATATTTGTAGTAAATCGCGTGCGATTTTACCAGATTGAACACATGTCACTGAGAGGGGGAGGGGGACGATTGTAAATATTTTTTACTTACTTATACAATCCTTAAGCACGGAAAATTATATGAGAAAAATTCGAGACATTGGAAGATACTCGTCATATAAATAACAAGTATCTTCGCTAGAGTTGCGTTGAGAGGATTCTGGCTTAAGATTGCAGCACAAAATTTCGATAGTTAAATTTCGATAGTTTATACAAAATATTTTGAAACTTCCACATTTATTATACACAAAGAAAAAAATTAGAATACATTAAAATGTCAAAATTGGCTATTATATCGTTATTATTTATAATTGTCAACGTCTATCTTCATTATTTTTACGATTAGCAAACTGCAAAATATTAATAGGACGCAATATCAATCGATCGAGTTATTAATTGGTTCTGTTCTGTATTAAAAAGTGTTACTGTCCGTACTGTGCGACTGGATACAATTGCAAGATATTTTTCCAAAATTGCATTACGTCGGGAAATTGCTCGGATCATCGTGAAATCGCTTTTCAGACCCTCGGTTGTAATCTGATAACGAGCAGCAGTAGCACACGTGAGTTGCGCGGTTACTTTCGTCGCGCGCCGCGGGTTCTTGCGCTAAATTTCTCTTATGCCATAAACTGAAGATGGAGCGTTTAATGCGAGGATATTACGGCACCGTTCGATCAATTTGCATAATTATAATGTTCCTAAGTAATTTTCCGAACGCATCGTGTGTTTATGAACGTTGCACCTAGTAGAGGTACATCGACCGACTTAGCACAGATCTATCTTCAACGTATCTCACGCCATTCTTTCGAACGCATTGCAACGGTTCAACGTGCTATTATTTGCATAGAAAAGAAGAGGTATCATCCATAGTCCGCTAGCTTCTTTTTTATATGAGTTTAAATTAGAAATAATTGCCGATGAGCATACGAAAGATATTTATTCGCTTGAATTTAGAAATACAAATTGCGAAGATTTGAAAATTTTATTTTTTTTTAGACCATTTTAGACAATTTTTTATTTATTTGCTTGTTTATTTGTTTGTTTATTTGTTTGTTTGTTTGTTTGTTTGTTTATTTGTTTAGAAACAGCCATTTATTTTCACCGTGAAGCATGTAAAATACAAAAATCTAAAATTTTTACGACAGGATAAATAGTGTCATAGAAAAACAACTTATATAATTTTTCCGGGTGTTGTAAAGATTTAACTACAACGGTTAAATCTCACCACACGGATCGGAATAAAACCACTTTCTCCTCGTGAGACTATGCCACTATGTTTGGTATTATGTGCCTTTGGATGCTTGGGGGCCCCCAAAGTAAGAAAACAAATTAGACGTTCAATATTCACGAAACGATGCTTGCGCGAGTTGGCCATGGAAAATAATTTCCTATGTGGATGGCATTTATCTGATTTACTTCCCGGAGGCAATTCATCTCTACAAAAAAAAACGCCGTTAAACTTTTTATTGCTGACACGCTTTCTTGGAATAGTCATTATTATTTCGTGCGTCACGTGTTACTATCTTATGGAGATACAACAATCGTGACAGAATACTTAACAAAAAATCTAAAGTATACACGTGTGTTTGATCTTACACGAAGATTCTTTAGAAAAAAGAAAAGAAAAAATTTTATTTAAAGAAAAGAAAATAATTTAAGAATTTTATAATGCAATCTGGCATATATATACGTGTTATATATTTTTTATAATTAAACAAAAATAGAATTTATTTTTTTCCAGAAAAATATAGATTCTGCGCAAAAAGATGCTTTTATTTATGGCTTTTTCCAACACATATTTTTTCAGCAACGCTATTTGCGCACCCTTTAAAGCGTAGAGCCCCAAACCCTTTTCACACTTTGAAAATTCGCAGCGCCGATAAAAGGTTGCCGTGAAATCGATGCCGTTGCAGACACATGTTCGATCGGCCGGCGAAAATATTGGAAATTACACGAAAGATTTGTCCCAGAGGCGTGCAGAATCGAAAATCAAATAAAAAAGGGGCGTGTAGTACGCCGATCGCGTTCGCCCGAAACTGTCAAGCCCCCCCCAAAAAAAGGGTTCGACAGAGCGATAAAGGCGATTCGCTCTGATTGGATAATTTATCGGCGAAGTGCAATCAACGAAATCGCGCCAACTGGTTTCGCAGGTATCCGTGAAATATTTCTGCGAACTAGGGAAGAGAGAAACCTTTGTGAAACTATTTCTTCAAATTTCTTAAATGGGAATTTAGGCTGAGCAGTTATTGTGTGTGTGAATAAATAAATTATTTAATTAATATTCTTACTTTAAATATAAATATTGATGAACCAGTAATACTGTTTAATTGTAATGTCGGATCATTTATCCTACCACATTAAACGATTGGCATATGTATCATGCTATTATAATGATGTGAGGAAAGTTGAGTGGATTTATTATAGCACATCATGAAGCTCATGAATAAACAGAAAGTTACGTGCTGTTACGTGCAAACCACACGAATGCAGTTCGAAAGTAGTTCCGCAAACTACATTCATGTTTTTTGCAAAATTGATCAGTTATTGGTTGTATCGACTCTACTTTATTTAGAGAAATTGAAACTGATAGAATAACATTGAGTCTAATAATGATTTACTTCAAAGACACGTCCATCACAGAATCAGCTGTGTCATTAGCCCATTTTTCGTTAAAATTATATCTTTACAAAAGTAATTGTTACAAATGGGAAACAAATTCGTAATTTGAAAAATTCGCTTTATATAAAATCGTATCATATAAATTACGGATTTCTTTCATTCTTATACCGAGCTATTGAATTATTTACGCGAGTTACACGAATAAAAATGAAGGCGCGATAGGTCACTTTCCACATTTTTTCGAAAATGTTGCGACAGGGACGTGGTACGGCCTCTCGAAATCGCGATCTTCCGTGCGATCGGTTCGCGATCGCGATTATTGCGCGAGAGGAATCGCCATGCTGATTCGAAAGGTCTCTCGCGTGTGAGAGGCGCGCGCGGGCGCGCGCGTGAGAAGTGGGTTATCTAACTGACAACACCCTGTTCTTCATATAGTTCACGAGAGTTTTCCCATAAGTCGTAACAGGACACAAACGTCTGCAGAAACGAGTTGCAAAAACAAAAAGATGGGAAGAAAGAGAAAGAAAGAGAGAGAGAGGGATTGCGTCGGGAGATGATGCTGGCAGACACGATCTCTCCCACGACGCCGTTCTTTTCTTCCTTGTAGTCTTATTAACGTAATTTATTATCCTACAAACGTGTCGCACGCGGACACAACGCGTTACGTATCTTCTAGATTTCTGCAGCCTCGTAAACATGAAATCCTTGCTAGAATTCTTGCTAATTCCTTGCTAGATACGCGAGACATATCTAATTATATTTAATCATAAATTATAAACGATAAGAACTGTGTAATTGTGTAATGTATGATTGACATATAACGTAACTTGAAATTAATAAGTTAATTTGATGACGGATGACTATAATTATGTATAATGCTGTAAAGATTATAGTATATTTTACAATATTTTTTAATAAAAATATATTATACCGATTTTTAATTGATATTTCTTTTTATGAATTGCATTTTTTATCAATCGACAATCAGCTAACTCAATTATAGAAATCAAAACATAGATTCTTGAGACCGAACGTCAAGGCAATTGTCCGTTCACCAGCGTGGCGATTTCGACAGCATGCTATGGAAGCCGAGGCGCGTGCACCGCGATTGGAAACCCAGAATCCGGTCCGCCCGATCCCCGACAGACTTGGATAGGTCTTGATCACCGTGTTGTCCCGTTTCTATAGAGAGGAAAACAATCTCCGTCCGACTTTAGATGCTGGCATGATACTCTATCGAAGGTGGAGTCGCGCTTGCCGCACAACCTTTGCTAACTGTACAAATCCCCTTCCCCGCACGCTCGCCGTAGCGAGGCCGTCCTCCTCTTACCTGACTGATTTTCTATACCTATCTCTCGGTTCCTCTCTCGTCGTTCTTATTCCCCTTTCACGCTACGATTCACGGATACCCCTTTTCCGCGTCCTTTTTATCCCCACCGAGCGAAAGAGCGAGAAAGGAAGAAGAAGGAGTGGAAGGGGAGAGGAGAGAGAGAGAAAGAGAGAGAGAGAGAGAGAGAGAGAGAGAGAGAGAGAGAGAAGTGGAAGAACGGGTGAAGAGAACGGAGAGGGACGAAGCACATCGAGCCTTCGGCATTTTAACGTTGCTCTTTTACAGCCTGTACACGTTAAACGTTCGCCTTAAGAAAGAATGAGAGAGAAAGAGACCTTTTGAACTATCTCTTTGATGAGATGGACGAGAACGGGGAACTTGAAGATAAACTTAGCCGCAGCTTACACTGCATCTAGATATCATCTTTAAAATGCTATTTAATTACTGACATAAATTGTGTTATTCTTTTTTGTAATCTGTTTGAATTTTACAAAAACTAGCTTGTTCAAAGTATACTTGAAAAAATTGAAAATTGTATCTTTGATAATATGTATAATGAGGAATTAATACTTCAATAATTTTTAAATAATATACATATTACCGTTAAATGTACTTCTATGTCAATATTATAAATTAGGTACTGTATTGTTATATTGCTTTTAATAATTTTCATTTTAAGTGGCAACATCTTGTTGATTGGATATTAAAGTTGAAGCGGCTCTTAAAGCTTGAGATTATAAAAAGATTCTTAAAGAAGATAATTGTTTAATTTTTATGGATACGGACACACTTCATTGAACAAAAAAAATTTACTTTCTCTCTTTAAAGCATAATAATTGACATGCATTTCTTCATCGCAACGTTTGTATGACTAACAATAAGATTAACTTCATTTTTTAACGTGTATATACTTGATCCAAAAAAAATAACTTTCATAATGTACCTGAAGATTAATCAAGGAGCTGCATTGAAAGGTCACAACACCTTCAAGATTGCTTCTAGCAAACGAAATGTCAGGAAAACTGATGACGCAATTCCGTTCTCATCATCGATTCGTTTCTTATTATAGTCCCAATCTTCTGTCATTTTTCATTAAAAATGTCAAATCATATGTTATTAGATGAGTCATTACAATATATTATATAAACAGCACAAAAATTTTTGACTAATGATTTAACTTGCTTATTCAAGAAATTAACAAAAGATTGAAGGAGAATTTTTTTTTGTTTTGCATTATTAAATCCTTGCCGCAAAAATTTGCTATTGTAATACCTATATTACAGAAAATTTTATTTATTTTGCATATAAATTGTTATAAAATATAGAGAATTAAAAATTAACTATATATTTACGAAAACTGAAATTATTTTTATCCAATAGATTTCTAATCGTAGAAAAATCGTTTTGCAAACTATTAAATTTTTTTAGACTAAACGCAATTTTTAGATTTGCTACCGAAGGTCGAATCAAACTGATTTCGAGGGTCACTCTGAGTAACAATGGGAGAAAAAAGGCTCGCACCTCAGGTCGTCGTCGTCCTCGGTCGAGCTTTACCGAGTACAGACTATAGGCTCTCCTTACTCCGAGGCGCGCGGCTTCTCTTTCTCTTTCTCTCTTTTTCTCTCTCCATACCTTCCATTCCCGTGGTGGAGGCCGCATACCTCCTTAGGATGCAGTATAGACCTGTCCATTGGCTGGCAGACACCGGTTGGTTCTCTTTTCGGTCCGGAACGACGCCGACGTTCAATGATACCGAGAGAGTAGAAGAGACACTTTCTCGCGCCTCTGTTCGTCCTCTTATTTACTTTATAGTTACTTCTCCGCAGGTGTGTCATGCGGATTCGACGCGATTTCGCGAATACGTTTAAGTGAACATAGAACGAATGGTGCGCGGGAATATAGCACGTGCGGTGTCGTGACACGATGAGGTGATAAACCGTGTTGTGCAGAGCGCGGTATCTTGGAGCGACTTTGGAAGGTAAGTCGTGTGAGCTTATGGAGAAGTGTGAGATAAACTTCTTAATTTCGTGACGCGTGTTAATTGCCGAAAACGTCGACCTGGATACTTACTTTTCATGTGAAGAGACTGATCAAATAACGGAGAGTCCTTTGTGGAGGTGATGACGACCGATCAGTTTCGATTTCCGTGAACTTGACAGGTGTCTGAGAATACTGCCAATATTGAAGATTTGCTCGTCCTGAAACAATAAAATATGAGTTAGATGGATGCTGATTTATTTCTTGTTTTAATTGCTGATTGGAAGAGTTCTTATTGTCTCCGTCACTAGAGAAACGTTTCGCTTGGATTTTATATCTCTATACTCTTTGCAAAAGACACAGGAACTTTTGAATTTATCAAATATTCTTAAATCATCCTTGAAATAAAGCTAATAAGCTATTTACTTTTTAATTCTTCGTATATCATATAATAAGAATTGTGTATGCAGTTTATGATTTGTTCGTGAGTGTGAGTTCTGCTCGCTCCTTTCGGATTACTGGAAATTCGAGTGACTTGGGGTTTCCCGTTTCTGTTCTATTTCTAGTTTGTATTTGCGTCACTCTTTTCGTAATTATTATTCTCAGTTGAATACATTAGAGAGCACTATTTACAATTTTTAAATTCATTGCACATTGATGAAATAATATAACAGAAAAAGAGGGATCCAAATTGGACACTGGACCTGAATACGATTGCAAATCGACGCTCATGCAAATCGAGGAATCGGGGTCGTCGATTGAGGATGTCGTCTCGTTCCTCGACGATTTCTTGGTGCAACGGTATAATCGTGCTTCTCCTTTTGTTGGGTACCTGCAGAACGGTGATACATCGACGGCACTGAAACCTGTATCGGTTATCTGGTTTTAATAATATCTATATGTTATGACATATTATAAATTCAATAAAACAACTTCAGATAATATCGAAAAATAGAGAAAAGAATTTGGATATTCACATGTTAAATATTTTATACAATATATTATATTATAACTTATCGCGATGTTATATATAATATATTAAATTAATAATTCGCGCTGTGTTAGAATTTTTGAGAATTGATTGATGCATTGTCAAAAATTCCAACATATTGCTACGGATAATTGACTTAGTCTGGCGAGGCCACGTAAGTCTTCGATCAAATTTTTATTGTCTTTTTCGTCAGTCGTCGCGGAGAAACCAGTTCCGGCAGTGAGTTTGCGGTCTGGCGAAGTCCTGGATTCAAGGAACCAGTGTCAAGTTCGAGGAACAGGAAAAGCCGTGGGCGCGAATTTTTCGACGGCAATTTTCTTGCGCGCGTGCTGCGTGACTTCCGTCAATTAAGGGGGCAAATGATTCCAGGGATTGTCGGAATTTCCAGTAACCCGAAAGGAGCGAGCAGTCTTATATTCGCGAACAAATCATAAAACGTATACGCGAAATTCTCATATAATACGAAGAATTAAAAAAATAAGTGGTTTACTAGTTTATTGTAAGGATCATTTTACGAGTGTTTAAGAAATTCAAAAAATTGCCGTGTCCTTTACGAAGCGTGCTGATGAAAGTGAAGATCTGCAGGAAAAGATGCGCACACCAGAATATTCCTTTTCTTCGTCATTCATCCTGGCATCACTTGGTCACGCAGTGTCAGGATTCCAACCGCGTAACGTAACGGAGACCAGAGGAAGAGGGGTGTAACGGTTTTTTTCTTTCTCTCTTGCTCTTTCCTTGCTTATGGCTTCCTCTTTCGCTCGTTCCTGCTATTTGTCCCACTTGCGCACTTCTTCCCCCGTTTCCCCCACTTCCCCTTTCCTTAGATTTAACCATCTATTTTTAAAATTATTTCTAGAATAGGTCCGATAAGCTTGAATCTCATCACCTACATCATTTTAATTAATTCCTGTTATTGTTTACCTCCAAGGAAATAAAGATGATAGAAAGTTTCGCGGTAAATTAAACTCACTTCTATGATTTGCAGAAAGTTGTACAGATTTCTAAGTAATAAATTAAAATATTTACTAATTACAATATAAAATTGTACTTTTTTTTATTGATGTCCAGCATCACTTTAACAAAGGCGTAAATTATCTATAAGTTATCAATATTTTTTTATTTGCTAAAGAAGTGTTATTTAAATTTTTGGTTTATTGAAAAAAAATTGCAGATAAGAATGTATGCACATTCTATAACGAAAGAATATTCAATTTGATATATTATATAGATTTGTAGAAATTATTCTCAGAATCAATGATTAATATATGACACACGTTATTCGCAGAAATTAGCATCTTATTTATTAAATGTCCAAGAAATTTATTCGCGCTGAGTAATCAACTTACAAGATGTAAAACGTTAATTACATTTGAAATTGATTTATACCGCTTTATTATGGTAAAAAATACTATTGATATAAAAAAATAAGAATTATTATAGACAAACTAAAGAATTATTTTATATTATCTGCAATGTATTTTTTATTTGCCTGTTCAATGCATATATCTAAATTCTTAATACAAATACGCAAGCATGTGCAAAAACAATAGTAACAAATTTGCTTGTCATAAAAATAAAATTGCAGTAGTTGTAAAACCACAATAATTAAACATAGAGTAGCGATGAGTCCGTGGCGATCTTTCGCAAGCGTTAATTTCCAAACAGTTTCGTTGCATGGGAGTTGCACTTGACTCCTTTCTCGTCTGCACAGCTGCGACCGCAGTCATCATTCAATCTTTCGGTATCATTTTATACTTGGCTTGCAGTAACAGTCGCTTCTGTTTAAGGTTCTCCGTACGTGTCACAATCCGCTCGGTAAAGCGTCGATACGCACGCGGTTATCGTCACGGTTTTCGCACCTCGCAGTTTTCCGCATTACTCCAAGTACACGAAGTCGGAGAAACCGAGTTCGTTTCGAGATAATGCGCTCTCGTTAACGTGTGCATCATTCAATGTTCGCGTTAAATAAGAGTTGCGAAATCATAATAGCGGCTTTCAATTATGGATTAGTTGCATAAAGAATCTTGTTTGAACTTTGAAATTTTTATATTTAATAAATAAACCCTACAAATATTCAATATTATTAAATTCATTTTTCTCTCTTTCTTTTTCTTTCTCTTTCTTTTGTATATAGTATAGGAGTACATTTATCTTATTTTAAGTATTCAGAACATGAAACTAAGTATTAATGTTTCAAGTTTCAAGTTTTAGAGATTTCGTTGAAAGAATAAATTTGCTTCATTGTCCGCGAATCTGCATTGACTCACGTTCAACAATTAAGAGTAATTGTTCTACGTAGTGAAATCTCGCTTTCAGTGTATGGTAATTACTGCAGGCCTCTACTTTCATTGCGAATTCACAGTCGAGTGCTTGATTCTCAATTCTATTCGTTTATAAAAACTAAAGGACAAGGAAGACAAGAGACTAAAGAAAATTGCATTTTATCTAATCACGGTGGTACAAAGGAACAATGATGAAAACTAAGATTTAATACGTATGGTGCCTTTGCCAGCATTATGACGTAATGTAACGTTACCAAATAGAGCTCAAGTTATAACGATCACACGATTATAGGAAAGAAATATTTGAAGAGTTTTGAAGAAATTAACTCAAAAAATATCTAGTTGTCTAAAATAATTATTATATAAAACTTAAATTTGTATTAATACTAGCAGCTTCAGAAATTCCACAGCATACACGAGCACGTATTATTCGCATTTATCAACCATCGTCTTCGTATCCTTAGAGAGCATTGCTTCTCGTCTTATTACGAACTCGCTCGTGCGCGTTCGTTCGCGTGTCGCACTTATCCTCGCTGCAGGAGATTGCATCTTGCATCGCGCGTAACACGCGCTTCCTTCTAGCCGGCGCGGCGTGTAAATATGGATTTCGCATTTGAGAGCTGTTCTTAAGATGTACGAAAAGAAGGGGGTAGCATCAAGTATGTACACGGCAACCGTAAATTTTCCTCCTCCGACCGATTGATAATTACATCTTCCGGGGCTGCGAGACGCGATTCTCGATGCCGGTCGCGGCCGGCAGAACGCGGAAGTCGAGGTCGCTCTGCACGCACCAAGGCGTCGAGGAAATGCAGGGCCATTACCCCACGCTGTGTGTCACTGTTGCTCTTGCCGGCATCATTCCTTTCTAGTGCCTAGTAATACGGTAACGCAAGGCGCGTCGTATTTGCCCACGCGATATCAAGGGTAGGACGCGACTGATGTCTCGTTGCGAACGTAGCGTGGGAGTAGTAGTTAAGAAAGCGAGCACAATTTTTTACGACGGTCAATGATAATCTGCTAATGTAAATTCTAAATTAGCCGTTTTCGTTATTAAAAAGAAATTTTTAAGTCTATGTAAAAAATTTAGATATTTATATAAAAATTTATATTAGATACATACAATAATGTTGGTGTGATACAATATTATACACTTTTTCGAAGTTAAAGCCTTCTTCTCGTATCGTAAGATATAAAAAGATCTCTCACTTATACAAAACAAATTTTTCTTGTAACATAAATTTTCTTAGAAGATGAATTAAACCCTTGAAGCAGACCCTATTTTTTCCCCTATAAAAATAGCTTTCTTCGAACTCGCACGACAGATTTCTTAATTCATGCAAACTATGAAAACAAAAAACGTCACGCATTTCTGCCGTTCGATTCTCCCTGCGATTCGATTTGGTCACGTCGTCGAGCCATTCTCACATATAGATCGGCTTCTGCGAACTCCTGAAATGGAATCTGATTTCTAACGGCATTTCACTCGGCGGAAAACGCAATTTCGACGAGCCGACCGACTGCGATTGCGGAGGTTGTCGGTAGTACCGGTCGCGAATCGCCTGCACGCCAAACTTCTCTCTCCCGTACAACGACTTAAGAAGAATGTAGTAGTAGACGGCAGATAGTCGCATTTAAGTGGAGGCTAAAGCGCGAATCTTGTATCCTACTCACGCGATAGCTGTTTCCTATCCGCACGCTCGTTTGCATGCGTCGATCGTAACTTTTCGAATAATGGTTCGACGAACTTGGGCACGACAATCCTGCAGGCTTTAATAATAATTTTCGATAGCAGATTTTTCTGCTTTAAAATTGTAATCTAATTTTCTTTTGTGTATCGGAGATAGGCGTTAATTTTATTTATTGTCATTTAAATAAGAATAAAATTAATTGTCTGATTTGTGTCTCCAAGATTTATATTTAAATAATAAGCCATATTTTATTTTCTATTATTATGTTTAATTTTTAAACTAAATTTGATTAACTTTAATTGGTTTATCTTATTGTTTTGCTCTTTGTCGCTATGACTGACTTTAAAGCATACAAATCAATCGCAGGTGACGATGTGGGCGATTTTTTTGCTGTTGGTCTCCACGTGGTCTTCGTCATGGGGTCAAGTGATAAACAGGGCGCCCCATTTCATTCAAGGTGGAGACATGGCCAGGTTGGCTGTGTCAGAGGGTGCACCACCCGGTGCTCCCGTTTATACTCTCCGGGGGGAGGATCCTGAAGAATCCAGATTGCATTACTCTATTAGCGGCGAATACTTCACCGTGAACAGGGAGACTGGAGTAGTGACCCTGAGGAAAGCCTTAGACAGAGAAGTACAAGACCTCATCGAAGTCATTATTAGCATAACAGGTAAAATGACATGGCTAATCTATTACATAACAAAATCATCATACATTAATATATAGCTAAATTTCTATAAACAATCCTTACAAAATTAAATTTAAAAAACTTGCTTTATATTTTTTATGTACCATTATATTAGATGTCTTCATATATAAGTATTGCTGTGTATCGAATGAAATATAACAAAGTTATTTTATCGAGTCACAATAAGAGAAAAATTGATTGAATTTATTGAGAATAAATTTGCTCGTTCCAGATGAAGGTGTCGCCGGGTCGGAACCTAATACGGTGTCCCTTCGTCGCGAAATAGCGGTGCTCGACGAAAACGATAATCCACCGGTTTATCACGGCCGGCCGTATGCAGCCAGAGTGCTGGAAAGTGCGCACGTGGGTGACCTGTTACTTCCTTCGGGCACGATCATGATCACGGATCGCGACGGTGGTGTGAACGCCGATGTTCACGTGCAATGCGTCTCGGCGTCGCGCGACGACGACGTCTGCGAGGTCTTCAACGTCTCCACGGAGAAGGTAACTAATTTGTGATTATTAGAAAAATTAAATTAAGAAAATTAATTGCTCAAATTAAATTAAGCATAAATATAAATATGTTTAAAATATACATATGTATTATTATTCTTTAGTTAATGGAAAATGATTGAAATTATTGCGGTTTGTTTCAGCTCGCTGAAGGGAAATACGACGTGCAAATCACGTTAGCGAAACCGTTAGATTATGAGAGGAGAAATTCGTATTTGATTAATTTGCTGGCTGTCGACGGAGCGAATGATCCGTCGAAGAGATTGCAGGCCAGAGCGACCGTTGCTGTTGATGTCCTCGATGTTCAGGTAAGTAGGTCTTGATCATCACTAAGATAACTGTATACAAAGTCGGCGTGGCGGTAGTTCTATATTGGATAATAAGTATAATAACATCGTTTTCTATATTGGATAAAATTAGTAGGAAATCATCAACCTGTTATTCAATCTCTGCCTGTCAGCGCGAACGCTATCAAGTGAAGACTCATCTCGGTCACGAGTAACGCACAGGGGTCATTCACGTTAAAGTAACGAGATTATCGCAATTTTATTTTTATCTCATATTTCTCGCACTACTAAATACTTGGTACATTCTATTTTTAGATATTGATTTTAAATTTAATCTCACGTTTTATTAATTTAAGTTTAATTGTTGAAATCTTGAATAATAGAGACGAATATTAACTTTTAATAGCAAAAAAATTGCGAGACTCGCGTTATCTCAGTGATTACAATTTAATTTACTTAAACGTATGGCACAATTGTTCAATTTTTAATGATAGAAGTAATGTTAATCTAAATCAGCGAAGTATAGGCCTTATAAAATCAACAGAAATAGATAAGAAAGTAATTCCTTGTAAAAGAGCTGTAATGTAATCAGCGAAATGAACTTTTGCACAAATTTCTGTCTTAGGATCAGCCACCTATCTTCCTGAATGCGCCTTACAGCGCGGCGCTTCCGGAAAACACAGCAGCTAGTCACACGGTTTTGATAGTACGAGCACGTGACGGTGACACCGGTCAATCGAGAAATCTGTTGCTGACGCTGGAGGACGACGACGCGGGTCACTTCGATCTCGAGATGTCCCGTGATGGTGATGTCACGGTTGGCAGACTGGTCACGACCAACATATCACTCGATCGCGAGGATCCCAGGATCCTGCAGAACGGCGGTATTTACACCTTCCAAGTTAGAGCCACCGAGCTGATCAACAATGAAATACCAGCCGACACCGCGACGTCGATCGTCACAATCGTCGTCACAGACGTGGACGACCTCGTGCCTACTTTCAACGAGGATTATTTCAGCATCAAGATCTCCGAGGATATTGGAAAGGACACTCCTCTACCAGGTCGTTGAGCTTGCTAAAAATCGTGTTCCTTCGGTAAAGTTAAATGAATCAGTGTTTTCACATCATTAATTTGAGATATTTTTCTCTAATTTGTTTCAACGATTAAAGGATAATTTTATTATATATTCTTTACTCTTTTAATTCTAAAACAGATATAAGTGTTGATTATTTATAAAAATGATAGAAGTAAAATTTGGGATTTGCTTTATTTCACGTTTCTCTACTTACCGTTTTTGTTTCCTCTTCGGGGAGATCCTCGTGTTTGACGACATCATGATTAAGCAGGTCTGAATATGATTGTGAGCGATGGCGACGTGGGCGACAATGCCAAGTATTTCCTGGCGTTGCGAGATGTGCCGCGATACCCTGGAATCAGCAAAGCATTCATTGTTAGTCCCGAAGAGGCTCAGGGTCGAGTACCGGTAGTGATCAAGGCTAAGGATGTCAATGTTCTCGATTACGATGTTGATGATCCTGCAAAGAGAGAAATTGAGTTCGACGTCATCGCGACTGTAGCGAGCGAAGTGGTTAGTTCTTTGTAATATTTAAAATTAAAAATATTATTACATAGCTTAATTATATTGCTTAAAGAATTTGTGATTAAATTTTATAATAAGACAATTAGAAATCATTTAAATAACTTTGAAATGTATATCATTTTGTATATTCTTACGTAAAATAGAAATAATCAGTTGTTTTATTATTCCTCCTTGCCAATGTGGTTTTTATAACGAAAATCATTGTTTTGTAGGTAGCCACTTGCAGAGTGCACATCCAGCTATTAGACGCCAACGATCACAGCCCCGAATTCTCTCGGTCGGTGTACAAACTGTCGGTCCCGGAAGACGCTGAACCCGGCACTCGTTTCGGTGACGTTTATGCGAAAGACTACGACAGCGGTTCTTTCGGCAAATTAACGTACACCCTGCGTGGTTTCGGCGCGGACAAATTCAAGACCGATTCCCAGATGGGCGGGATATTCGTGGCGAACAAATTGGACTACGAAGCGCAGAAGTCTTATTCCTTGACGATGGAGGCGACGGACGGCGGCGGTCGAGTGTCCGCCGTTAATATTCTTATTGAGCTCGACGACGTTAATGACAACAAGCCGACGTTTGAACAGCCGGAGTATTCTAGGACCGTTCGCGAAGGTGCTACCAGCTTTGATCCGCAAATGTTCGTCAGGGCGACCGACGTTGACGGACCTATGCAGGGCAATGGGAAAGTCGTGTATTCGATTAGCCGGCATAATAGTATGACAGATGACGTTTTCAAGGTTCGTCGTTAAAATCCTTTTACATCTTTTTATAGGGATGCATTTTTTTAAAGTTTGCTTTTAAGTATGAATTTTACAGATTAATCCGGACTCAGGCGAGGTAACTATGTCGAAACCGGTTCGTTCTGGCGACACTGAAAGGGGCATTTACGAATTAATGATTCGCGCGACTGATACCGGCACACCGCCATTATATTCCGAGGCGAAGCTTTTCGTTCGCGTCGGTGTTCCCGGAAACCAGAAGCCTATCTTCCGAGGAAACTACAAGTCGAACTTGCCAGGTCCTAATGCTTATCGTGCAAGGCTCTTGGAAAACGCATCTCCCGGAACGGAAGTCATTCGAGTAGTCGCTAACGATCCCGACGGAAGAGATAATTTGCTGCAGTATTATATCGCGTCCGGTTCCAAGGATAATTTCGTTATCGATTCCAGGTGCAATATAAAGTCCACTATAGATAACTGAAATGTAATATGTTAGAGAATTTAGAGCCTTTCTCTTATTAATTTTTTTCTGGTCTATTTTTATTATAATTATTTTATTTCGCTATTTTAACTCGCAAGATTTAATAGTCATGATACAATAAGATAAAGATCGATACCAGCAAAGTTAATAAGAGCGGCTGATTACAGTTCTGGCATCATAACTGTCTCACCTGACGCTCGCTTGGATCTGGAGACTGGCGGTGAAAAATACGAGGTGATTGTGTACGCCGTTGATTCAGGTACACCTGTCAGAGAGACTGCCACCACTACCGTCACCGTGAACATCATAGATGTAAATAATAAACCGCCGACATTCAATGAATCAACGTGCACCGTTCATGTTTCGGAACGCGCAGCCATCGGTACGTAACGCTAATAAACAGTTACCTATTAAAAATTAACTTTATATCAAACGAGTCATTTTTAGGATTAAAATTGAAGATCCCAGATTTTCTATACTTGGCTATTATTAAATACTTTCAGACATTACAGTTTCTGTGAAAATATCGCATAACGGTTTTATTTTCGATGCTTTAACTACTTGCCGGTAAATTATTGTTGCTTATGAAGAATTTCTTATGAACAGGTGAAGTTGTATTGAGGGCGGTAGCAAATGATCCCGACGCAGACGCATATTTGGAATATTCTCTGGTAGAACCGATACGGGCTGTCGACAAGACCGGCGTAGCCTTGAAGAGCACTGCCTCTTACGATTACAAAACGGCGTTTCGAATAAATTCTACGACCGGTGTAATTACTGTTAACCGAATGCTAGATTATCAAGTGGCCGCTGTCATAATACTTACGGTGCAGGCGAAGGATTTGAATGCCGTCGTCGACAAGGATAAACAGATAGCCAAAATGGAGGTGATAATTTACATACAAGCTTACAGCGATGACAATCCGACGTTCACCAATTCCGGATGGTCACCAAATAATCCGACGATAAAAATCACGGTTCCGGAAGAACAACCCTTGGGTACGACGTTGTTAATGTTGTCGGCGAAAGAGCCGACGACAGGATATTCGGTTCAAAGGTTCGAATTGGTGAGAGAGGACGATGACGAAGGCTACGTTAATGTGGGTGTTCAGAGCGGTAATGTGGTGCTAAGCAAGAGGCTGGATTACGAAGTGCTGAATCAGAAGGTAATTGTAATTTTAAAACTACATGGTTTAAATACAGATCATAAATGTTGAGACTAAAAATTGTGTAATAAAAAAATTCGGAAAATCTAAAATAAAATTTTAGCAAGATTATTAATGTATGTTTTAAGATGTAAAATTTTGCTCCTACTTTCAGTTTATTCGCTTTAAAGTACGAGCGCTTGCCAGAGATTACGATATAACGCGAAAGATGTCGGAGGCCAACGTAATCGTCGAAGTTCACGATATCAACGACAACAGTCCCGTGTTTGGACAAAAGGATTACAAGATCTCTGTATTGGAGTCAGCAAAACCTTCGAAAATTGTGTTGAACGTGCAGGCATTGGATATGGATAGCTCTAAAACTGAACAAGAAGTCCAAAGAGGATATGGTGAAGTGAGATACTCTTTAACAGGCGAGAACGCCAATCTTTTTGAAGTGGATCCCATAATGGGCAATATCCAGGTAAAACTGTCCTAGTGATCTCTAACAATGTTCTAATTTAAATTTTAGAACTCAAAGAATAAAAAAAATATCTGAAAGATTCTATTTCTTCAGAGCTAATCTAAATTTTAAACGTTAAATCTAAAGGATATCTAAAAAATACTCTAATTTTTTAAACTATGTCTTCTAATTTTTATAGTTTTTAAAATGAGATGAATAATGAAAGAAATAATTTATAGATCGCCGCAAACACGACTCTCGACAGGGAGAGACAATCGGTGTTGCGTTTTTATGTCGTGGCATCAGACATGCCTCAAGGTGGAGCCGAGCAACGAAGTAGTCGAGCCTTGGTGACGATCGATGTCCTCGATGTTAATGATAACGCTCCTAGCTTCGAACAGGAATCTTACACAGCGGTGATTCCGGAGAACGCACCGGTGGGAATCAGCGTGGTGAACACCACGGCTACCGATCCGGACGAAGGTGAAGGCGGGACGATCCACTTCGAGATCATCGACGAAGGCGAAGCTAATGGTAGGGTCAAAGTGTTAAAGTTAGTTACAAATATAGATATAAAAAATGTCACATGAGTGGAAAATTAAAATTATTTTATAAGTTTACGAATATTTCTTTCTATTTTTATGTATAAAGAAAAATTAAACAATATGAAACATTTTAAGACATAAAAAAGAAATAAAAAGTAGTTTGTACATTTGTGACAATAAATTGTTAGAATATTGATTGTGTATTTGACTTATACTCTTTCAGGATTATTTAAAATAAATCATACAACGGGCGAGATTTACTCGGCACGAGCATTGACGGGCAAAGGCAGAACCGAGCCATACAATATGCGAGTGCGAGCACAAGACGGCGGCGAGCCAACTCTGTACTCGGACGTGAGCCTTACCTTGTACATCGGCGATGTGGTGAGCAACGACGGCGTACCTCTATTTATCAGACCAACATTGGAGGAGGTAGCCTACATCGCGGAGAACTCCACCGTTGGTAGTCCCGTGTTCCAAGTGGTGGCGTCCGATCCCGACGATCCAAATTTGCCGAACGGCAGAATAACCTTCCGTTTCCTGGAGGATGGTAATTTTGGCAAGGATGCGAGCGCGTTCAGAATTAACAGCGACACCGGTTTGATTAGCACGCGAAAGTTACTCGATCGAGAAACCAAAGACAGCTATACGTTGATCTTGGTAGCGCAAGATCTCGGCGAGCCGCCTCAACAGGCGACCAGGGTGCTCCAGGTGATCGTAAACGACATCGACGATCACAAACCGCATTTCAAACGCAACCTGGATAGTCCGCCGATTGAGCTGAACGTCCTGGAAGAAGAGCCGGTGGGTTCCAAAGTCGGCGTGATCGAAGCGGTCGATGAAGATATCGGTGAGAACGGAATGATCGGCTATGAAATCGTGTATGGGAACGAGGCGGGGTTGTTCGTGGTGGAACGCCTGGAAAATAATTCCGCGATCATCAAATCGAATGGACGTCTTGATCGGGAAACCGCCGAGTTTCATTTATTGACGGTGAAGTGTTTCAAATACTCTTCCAAAAAGTCAGACACAGTACCGAAACCGTACAATAGACAGGACCCATCGGAGAGGCAGGTACTCGTCCGGGTCCTGGACATCGACGACAATAAACCGCGTTTCAAGAAGGACAACGTGACTCTGGGGGTTCGCTTGAACGTGCCAATCGACACCAGCTTAATCACCCTAGAGGCCTATGATGCCGACTCCAGCGCGTTGTCCATCAATTACAACATGAGCAAGGTGTCTTTCACGTCTCTGGTTGATCCCTCCATGTCACAGAAGGAAATACCGTCGCAATTGTCATTGAATGCGCGCACTGGCGAGCTCAGGACGACGGGTTCCATGGCGGGATACGCGGACGGCTTTATGGAGATGATTGTATCGGCGAACAACTCGGTGACGCCGGGAGGCGAGACTAATATTACTGTGAGGATCTTCCTGTTGCGCGACCGCGACATGCTGAAGTTCGTGTTCTCGAAGCCGCCGGTCGAAGTCAGGAAGACGTTGGAGGACTTCGAAAGAGCGGTTCAACAGGCTCTTTCGCTGCCGATCAGTGTCAATGTCTACGACACGCAGTTCTACTCGAAGGAGGATAACTCCCTGGACTTTTCTTCGACCAGTTCGTGCTTCCAGATGGTCGGCAAGGAGTCCTACGACCTGGACGAGATGCGATCGTTGCTGACTGACCCGAGGAATAAAGAACTGAAAAAAGTGTATAAGACATATCATGTAGAGAAAGTGCAGCATTGTGCAGCCGTGGTAGCCCGCGCTGATGCCTCCATGACGCAGATATGGGTCTTGGCCATCGCGGTCCTCGTCGGAATCGCTACCATAGTCTCCAGCTGTACATTGTGTTGCATGCATGCCAGGTAACTCTCCTTTTCTCTTCCTCTCTCTTTCTCTCAATCTATCAATTATTTATTACAAGTTAGTAGTTTATATATAATAACAAAAAAATTTTCTAAAAGTAGAAGTTTTATAAAATTATTTTATTTTTGACAGTAATGTGATGTGTTTTCTATTATTTTATTAATTTTTAATATCGATATTTTTTCTTAATATTGCTATATTTTTCCTTCAGGTATAAACGACAAGTGAAACACGCGCGTTTGCGCGATCAACCGCGACCACCTCTCAGTTACGTGTCTTCCGGGCCAGCTATGGTCAGTTCTGGATCTCATACAACGTTGGGTCCTGGCACGATGGTCACGCTGGGCCCACATGAGGGCCCGTACGAATGGGGCGCCGACACGACGCTTTACCATCCGAGTACGCTGGGTTCGAGAACGTAGAGAAGCGTTTGGAAGAAAAAAATCGATGGTGCTATACTCGCAAATGTAAAAAGTATTTGTACGATTGTAAGACACACACATGTAACGAAGCACATGATTTGTAAAATTTTACGATGTGTTATCCTTAAGTAACTTTAAGATTAGAAGAAGATATTATAATTATACAAACATAGTATAAGTATCAATGTACAACTGTAAACTTTAGACGAATTTAGAGTTGTATATTTTACTCGTACTATGCTTGTGATATTGTTAAGAAGCTTCAAGTGCGTTCTCTGTTGTAATATAATATGTAAGACAAAATAAAGTTGTACATTTTATATAGCCGACAATATATACATTTTCAAATTTGTATAAACTAGTTTTGATTTTTATTTCTGTGTTTAAATAGAAGAATGTGATGAACACCTATATCTAAAACTATAACAAATAATTTATTAATGTGTTATATTATACATCTTTTTTTAGTTAATAATAACGTAATACATAAAATTAGTTTTTATCTATATAATGAGTATATATGTCAGGTAAATGTCAATTGAAAATTGTCCTGGCCACTAGAATTGCTAGAAACAATAAAAATTTACATTGTCGAAAACTTTTTCTGCTTGTAAAAACCGAGATATATTATAAATTACATTAAAAATAAAATAAATAAATTTATATTTAGACTCTATTATTTTAAATCGGTTTTGCAATTCTTTTGCATATAATTTATATGCAAAAAAATTGAAGATATCTAGTTGTTTAAATTTGATAATCTCATCTAGTAAATGTGCATTACATCCAACATTAGTGGCCTATGATGCAATCTTCTATTAAGCGACGAATATCTCCCGTCCATTCTCGCTGAAGATCACGAGAGATTTCCGAATGCCTTCGACGAAAATGTCAAGGCGAAGAAGCAAGCCGGGCTGGATTCGAACGGACTATAAACACAGTATTGAAATATTTGTCTGGTTACGTGAAAAGCACGTTGACGTCATTCTTTTCTCCAAAATTACTTAACGTATAACAGAAACGAGTCACTTTACGCGCCGGTGATTAATGAAAGTTTGTCGCGCGATTATTGAACTCAGTTGAAATCTCCATATTACCTTGTAGATATCCTTACAGATATATGCTATGTATCTTATTACAAGTTAATGACTTTTTGCCTTCTCTTTCGGCCAGTATCTCTCCAAATTAACAACAGCACACGTTTCTAAAAATCTAAAATAAATTCTTGCGAAGAAATTGTGATTAAAACACAATGGCAGAACTATAAAAATATATTTCGTCAAAATAAAATACGATAACAATTGCATTGCATAAAGATATTTTTGATGATTCAAGTAATAGTGACGTGACGTGAAATTTTTTACGTAACATTAGAGTGACTCGTTTAACATTGAATTATCAAGAGATATTTGATAATCTTTTCTCACAAATCACGAATCACGTCTCCAATAACATTTTTAATCTCAGCGGAAGAGGCTGAAACGTTGAGATCCTTCGAAGATATCGATATCCTTCGAAAGATCGATGCTTTTGTTCGTGTTGGCCTCCGGACTGTCGATCATCGTTGTGTTGTCGCAATTCGCGCTATCTTTCTCCGTGGTCACAATCATTTTTTGCGCATTAATATCATACTTTTCCGTGCTGGCATAATCCTCGTCGATGCCTAATTTATGATTGGAAGGCACGGTAGCATCTCCTACGGTACCATCGCCGTTAACCAGATCCGAATAAGTTTCTGAATCATTATCCAATAGAAGATCTCCCTCTTTCTCGTTTTTATCGTCCAAACTCATCTCGTGATATCGCGTTATCGGAAGACTGGTTGTCTCTGAGTTTTGATTCTCCTCCAACTTCGACTCCTCGATCGCGGAATGATCAGTCAAATGTTTGGTGATCGATTCCAAGGGAGACATTATCTTCTTTGCAAATTCCTGCTGCTCTGCGGGTTTCATCGATGCCGATTTATGTATGATATCGTTTCTAGAAATAAAATTAAAATTATTAAATTAAAAATCAAATTAAATTTCTGATAACAAAGATATCAAGTGTTTTTAATTTTTTTTTTTCGATAAATATAAGAGCGAAACAATTATTAAGCTACGATTTATAGTGGCAAGACAAACTTCAAATTTAATTTTTTAAAGCGAATTTTACGGAAATAATAAAAACCAAAGGTAATTAACGATAAGGTATTAAGAACCGCACCTGTTGAACTTATTCTTTTTCCGAGGATACAAGTTTAGATGAAGAATCATTTGCTTTCTCTCCTCTTCTTCCGATACAGTCGTAGGACTAGGTACAGCTATAATGGGTATAGGTTGCGGGGATGGCCCATAAAATTTTTGTCCACGATATTGGATGGGCCTTCTGATATCGTAATCGTCCGTGGATGCTTGAGGCCTAGGCCACGTCGTCTTCTTATTCTGCTCCATGATATCGGTAATAGGATAAATGTCGAGCATTACGCTGAACGGCTTCGGTTTCCGGCTTTTCGTTACGGTGTTCATCGAGTACGAGCCGACGCTTTCGTATTGCGGTTCCGTTATGATCGGTTTGTTGTAATTGATTAAAGGTCGAGAATATACGGGATCGTAATAAGGGCTGTATCGGTGTATCCCGCTCGGAGAGAATCTTAAAGAAAACGATTTGATTAGTACTTGTTATTAATTAATCTGTGATATAATGATTTATTCATCAAATAGAAAGTTGTATATTTTATTATGAGATAAAAGATAATTTTATATGATAATATATAAATTTTTATCTCACCTACAACTCGATTCATTAATATCTAATATTCTTTTAGACTCAAGCATTAAATAATAACTTCTTTTCGTTACAAACCTCACGTTAGACGTGGCTAGGAGATTTACGTCCGCCGGGTGTTTCGGTTTGTACTGGTAAAAGGGATCGTTACTATACGACCCCGATTTGATCGGATAGGGGGACATCTCATGTTCCTCGGATTTATCGCTACTGGACATCATCTCGCCCATGTCGGGGATTAGATCGTACTTCTTCGGATTCACGTAGACGCCGGTGAACTTGATGCCGCGATTCGGAATCTCACCTCTGTTTGTCAGATACTTGATGATGTCCTGAATGCTCCTGGACGAGTGCGGGTATCGATATTGCGACAGCTGTGGATATCTTGGCCGTTTAAACGATGACGGATGCGGTGTCTTGAATTCCCAGTGAAACGGCGTAGGCCGTGTATCCTCCGTGCTCACGTCCTCGTCCGTATCCGCATATTTGTGCCTGCCAAATTGATTAAGAACCATCGGGTCAAACTGGCCGGTGCGTAAAAAATTATCTGACGCATTATGTAAATTTTTGCGATATCATTAATCTCTCTACGCATCACGATAAAATGTGAGCGGATGATGAATTACATCGGCGAGATCTATGCAATGTGCAATTTTCAGAATCGATTTAGCGCGCGCAATGGCACAATGTTACATAACACAGAAAGTATTTCTGGTATCATTGACATAATAAAAAAGATGTCAATGATATTCATGATATTTTCGGGATTATTAATGAAAGAATAGTATCGCGCATAGTTGCAGATGTATTAATTTTTTGCGTTGCATATCGTGCGAAGGTTGTAATGTCGTGTCAAATCGATACTTACAAATCGTTACAAATCGTTATTCAAGAAAAAAAAATTTTCGGTTCTTAATATTTTCGTTTATTTTGATGAATAACGACCGGAGAAATCGGATACGCTATTAAGTTGATTGAGGAGATTAATGACGATGACGTATCGTTTACCTCTGTCTCACACGATAAATGATCGAATGATTGTCGAACAATGGCTTGGTATCGAATTCCTCATTTTCATTAGCATCTCCCACGGACTTCAGCACTCTCTTTCGCTGCTTGAAATTGTGCAGATTCTGCGCTCTCATTTCGGGCTCGTTCGCGATGCGTGTCTCGATCGGCATTAAATTGCTCGTTGTATTTCGTTGCATGAAACTTTCGTAGTTCTCATCGTCCGAACGATCTTCCATGGAAAGATCGTCTGTACGATTAATCGTGGTTTCGTACAGGATCGTGGTATTCGTGGGTTTTTTCGAGAGATTCGGTGATTTCTTGAGAGCATTCTGTAGTATATATATGTGTTTTGTTTCCTGATTGATTTTACTATTCCCCGATGTGGTGGATGTAAAATCGTACATAAATATCGCCACCTACGATGATATTAAATTATTAAAATTCAAATATTTAAATAGCATTTGACAATAAACAAATAAAAAGTTCTCAAGCGGAGCTTAATGATTAGTGTAATACGGAGATATTAATAAAATTATTGTTTTTAATATCTGAGAAGGAGAAATAAAATTTAGTACTTTCTATAAGATTTCAATAAATTAAATATTGCGCTAATTTTCAACAAGATTGACACGATGTTAGTTCTTAATGAAAAACGTTAATGTCGAATTTGACTGCAGAAAGAAAATGAGCGATTGCAACGCAAAATTGTATAATCAACCGTTCATAATGCCGCGAACGATGTTTAGCCAGCTTCTGAAACAACAAAGATGCAATTAACCGACGTTTCCAACTGGCGGACGACGGTTAATTCGTACCGAAACACAGTTAACGCCCTATATGTGAAGCGTGCAGAAATCTTCGCTCGCTTGGCTCCCCATGCATGGAAGGGATAGCCGAAGATTCACGGTGAAATTACAATTCCACACGCGTCTCCGACATTAATCACCGGAGAAAACGCGCGAATTGTAATTACGTCTATTGTTCCTCACGCGTGGAAGAAACTCGCGAAAAACTCCGTACCGTTTAATTATCATAATCTCGGTGGCGCGTGCAACAGAATTGTGCGAAACAGGATACGTCGCGAATCATTGTGCAGACGTTTTGTCGTGCAAGGTCATTGCCCGATAGAAATTGCACGACAGAACAATGTAGCGAAATCATTGATTGTAAGATGTGCACAAAGGTGATGAATAGTGTCAAGCCACAAGCACCGCTTTATCTATTCAGTTGTAATGCGTTATTTTATATTCCTAATCCTGAAGATTCAACGTATTTAACAAGCTATTTGCAGTACGGTATTAATGCTTCCTCATTGAATAGGATCATTGTTATGCCACGACAGATGCAATCAACAGATATCCATGTTCACGCCACGAAGAAAGAGACATCGATTGTTAGAATATGTAAGAAAATACCTAATTAAATGCTACAATTCAAACTATTTGCCGTGTAATTGCGGCACACTTGATTAGAATTAGTTACCATGCTTTTTCAACTTTTCTTATGCTTTTGAGCTTTGACTGTGAACTTCAATTGTGAATTTTAGTTATAAGCTTTAGCTGTGTTCTGAAATATTTCCTAACGACGAGTGTAACAAATCAATAATCAATAATGTCTGCAATTCTGCTCACGATTACTCACCAATATCACCGTTACCACCACCATAACTCCGATCGCAAGTTTTCTCACAATTAAACCGTAGCGATTCCTGTTATAACGATCACCGCGGTCAGAATAAAGCCCTAGCTCGGATGTACTTATGGCGGATCTCCTGCCGGTTTCAAGCATCGCCTTCCGAGAGGTCTGGCGATTTGTATCCTTTACGATTACACATTGACGATACTGAACATCCTTAATTAATCAGCTTACCGTTGACATGCCGCGATTTATCGATTTGTTTCACCTCGCCATTGTCAGATGTAATCGCGAACGATCGACAACAGGTGTTCCTCGGCAACGATTATTTTGACGAACGAAAGAAGACTGCTTTAGCCCGATGGTACAGCCGCTATTTCGGTCTATATGGAGCACGCGACGTTGCTCTTTCGCCGCTTCCCACGCAACTAACGATCGCACATTTCTCGGCACGCAGTTTTCACTGGTGATTCTATCAGCGCCGTAGAGATTTCCTTTGTTCGTGGGGGAGGCTCGTTATGGTAAGTAGAAGGCAGGTGGTTATGGGCTACTTACTACGACTCGAGTGCCACCGAGCGCGTACGACATGCGAGGAAAATCTCTCACCGTTCCGGTGCTTGACCTGCTAAATACGCTTCTAACGCTCCATTTTCGTCCGCTCGTTCGCCAAAGCGACACCGCAATTTCTTACTCGTGATGTGCATTTTTGTCACAAATGTCTACATGTTAATATCAAGGATAATAGAAAGCGGTCGGACGTTTACAGCAAAGTCCTTCAGATTTTAACATGTTAAGTTACACGGAGTAGGTATTTATAGAAATCTATACTGTAAGTCGCTGCAAGCTATAAATAAAAATTAATATCTTTCTATTAAAAAAACTGACTTATTAAAAAATTATTCCTTAAAAGAAAAGTACATATACATATATTTACGTGTGAGAGAGCCTGTAAATAAACATCGACTGGGGTATAATAGTACTAATAATCTTATATACATCAAAAGCTCTTAAAAAATATATCTAACAAAAACATTTTAATTAAATGTATTTTAATGGATAGCGCGTTATATGTTAATTTGTTAATTTATTTAAAAAACAAAATAAAACTGTGTAGTTACAGTTTAAACGTATATGTATTGTAATAATTGCGTTTTTAAGTACACTTCCCACTGATTAACGCAATTAATGCAATCTTTTACACGTCTCATTTTCACACGTTAAATAAGTTGCTGAATTTTATAACAATGTAATATACGTAACATCTGTAAAATATTTCTGATTTCAACGTTCGCACGAATCAAAGACACATTTTACGTTAAGGCGGAAAGGTATGTAGGTAGCATTTAAAAAAAAACTTTTATTCCTTTTCCACACTCGTTACACATGTAAAAAGACACTGGTTGGTCGACACTAAATCCTTATCTGGAAGCAGTGTGGCGAAAACGATTGATATATAAAAAGGCAATACTCTCTAAATGTCCGGTGAACGAATCAGCGCTATCATCGGTCATTAAATAATAATCTTTGCTAATATTAATATTACGCATACTAATATCCAAGATTTTGTTGATCGGTAACACATTGCAAGCCTCCCGCGTCAGCGGCTCTCATCGTTTGCGAGTTTCAAACGGGATGTCGGGAATCGGGTAATTGTATCCTACGTATGGCTTAGCTGTCGTGGGCGGCAGAGTTGGGGGTGGTGCCGGTCTTCCGGTTGGTGGTGGCAAGGTCGGCGTGCTGGGTGTGATGCTGTAAATGGGCGAGGGTGGCGGCGGAGCCGTCACGGTTGGATATACCGGCCTCGGGGTTGACGGGGGAAGATACGGTGGTGGTCGGGTTTTCGGCGTTTCCGGGGGAGGCACATAGGTCGTTGGTGTATACCTTGTAGTGGTAGGCGTATATCTGCTTGTGGTAGGTGTATATCTGCTTGTGGTGGGCGTATATCTGGTCGTGGTTGGAGTATATCTGGTCGGAGTGTATCTAGTTGTGGTTGGAGTGTATCTAGTCGTGGTTGGAGTGTATCTAGTCGGGGTTGGAGTGTATCTAGTCGTAGTTGGAGTGTATCTGGTCGTGGAAGGAGTTGTCGTGTATACAGTTGGGGTATATTTAGTGGATGGCGTAGAGTAAGGCGGAAGGTAAGTAGATGGTTGAGCAGTAACTCTCGTACTGAATCGAGTGGTAGGTTGCGTTGTGTATTGTGTAGGAATTCTTGTCGTAGTTCTCGCGGTAGACGGCTGTCTCGTAGTATATGTTCCAATTCCAGTCTCAAATGATCCAGCTCCATAATCTGTATCTATTTCTGTTGTTGTCCTTGGAGTTGGGGGTACGTAAGGAGGTCTAGCTGAAGATGGCGGCAGGTAAGGAGGTGCGGTTTTAGGTGGGGGTGGAGGAGGTGGTGGTGTTCTGGTTACGGGAGGATACGTAAAGACTGTTCCTGGTGTAGTATATACATATCCTCTCGTACTTGGCGTTTGCGGAGGTGGTGTCCTTGGTGGTGGTGTTCTTGGTGGAGGAGTTTGGGGAGGCGGAGTATATGGTGGTGGCGTTTGCGGAGGTGGTGTCCTTGGTGGTGGCGTTCTTGGTGGAGGTGTTTGCGGGGGTGGTACATATGGTGGTGGCGTTCTCGGAGGTGGAGTTTGTGGGGGACGTGTATATGGTGGTGGCGTTCTCGGTGGCGGAGTTCTCGGAGGAGGAGTCTTGACAGGTGGTAAGTATGGTGGTGGCGTTCTCGGAGGTGGAGTTTGTGGGGGTGGTACATATGGTGGTGGCGTTCTCGGAGGTGGAGTTTGTGGGGGACGTGTATATGGTGGTGGTGTTTTCGGTGGCAACGTAAACTCTGTAGCTGGAGTTGAATAAACGTATCCTCCTGTGGTTACTGGAGGTAGTGTTTTAGGCGGCGGCGGTGGTGTTCTAGGCGGTGTCGGGAATGGAGTCCTTGGGGTAGTATATGTATACCCATCTGTTACTACACGTGTTGTCGTTCTTGGTGGTGGTGGTGGGGTTCTTGGTGGTGGTGGCGGTGTTCTAGGCGGTGTCGGAAATGGAGTCCTCGGAGTTGTATATGTATATCCATCTGTCACTACACGTGTTGTCGTTCTTGGTGGTGGTGGTGGGGTTCTTGGTGGCGGTGGTGGTGTTCTAGGCGGCGTCGGGAATGGAGTTCTCGGAGTTGTATATGTATATCCATCTGTCACTACACGTGTTGTCGT